CAAATTGGACAAATAAATAAATAAACAATTGTTGCTGATTTTTGGGTCATTGAAGATTCGCCCTATCAACTAGACTTCCATGAGGACGTTCCACTCACTTCCGAATAGCAAAATGAGCGCTGATTAGTGACCTTTTCAGCTTTTTGTGCACTATGGTGGCTCTGGCGGAATGCGAAGATAAGTGATGTTGTGGGCGGAGCATCAGGGGCAACGGTGGTGGTGCGATTTCTGGCCGGCCGTGGCAGCCTGTCGTTGTGTCGGGACGTGAGATGTCTCGTCTTCTGTTGTTTTTTGCTCTTCTTGCCATCGGCTTATGTTCCATTCGTCATCGAAAAGTTCGGCCATGTACGTCAGGACTTTGTGAAATCGTAAGTTCTTACAAGTCTTCCTTTTCTCCCCGACTAATTCTTCAAAAATTGAATTTGGGCCGGGATTTGTAGCAGCACTCGCTTGAATCCTCCCATGGTAATAAAATTTGAGAGGATGAAGCAGGTTTGACTAAAAATGCGAAATTGATCCTCTAGGTAAGCTTGGTGCGCTTAAGGCAGCTTGAACAGCTTGTATCGATCAGCCGGAGTGGACAAAAACAAATTGTTTTCGAACAGCTCGGGAAGTGGCCACCTGTTGCCTTGTGACCCAGCAGAAAACCGAGGATCAGGCCGATTTCTGAACAAAAACCTCTAAACATTGCAGAGTGCCGCTGTCACGTCAGGCAACCCTTCGTGAGCGATTGCTTGGCTCTGGAAACTGGGAAGACTATCGACGACAACGAAGTCACTATGAGAAGAAGCTGTTTGCAAAATATGCAGCCAATAAACCAGCCAAACTACAGTCATCATCGGAAATCGATGAACTTCTCCGAAACTATATGGATGTGAGATTTTAATTTTTGTCCGAAATTCTAAGGTAAGCAAACCAGCCCTTTTGGCGTTTCTGCTGGGGCCGTATGCTGAATGTTGGGAGGGATGGGGTCCCCGACGGTCGACGGACTACTTCAACTCGGTCCTTAAAACCGCCTCAATTTGATGCTTACCTCAGGACTAAGCCTTAAAGAGAGGACGGACCTGCGAGAGAGCGCAGGTCCGTCCTCTCTCCAAGGCATAGTGAGCTGCTGGACCTAGCTGCACCACTTCGTCATCACTCTCCTACCGTACCGACCGAGTTGAAGTAGTCCGTCGACCTCGGGGACCCCATCCCCTCCCCAACATTCAGCATACGGTCCCAGCAGAAACGCCAAAAGGGCTGGTTTGCTTACCTCCGAAATTCTGAGATCGAAATTCTGAGATCGGAATTCAGTTCTCGATCCAAATGTGAGATTTAAGGTATTTATCTGTACTGATTTAGGCCCAGTACTTCGGCACAATCCAGATCGGAACACCTGCGCAGAATTTCACTGTCATCTTTGACACCGGATCATCGAATTTGTGGGTCCCATCGAGGAAATGTCCGTTCTACGACATTGCCTGCAGTGAGTTCTCACTCAGTTTGGGGTACATGGTTAAGAATGAAAAGCCATTTGTAAACAAAATCATCCAGAAGAAAACAGATGCATAGTTTTGCCCGTTCCTCAGACGATCCTTTGTTATTTCGTCATTGCGGGGGCTAGATAGGGCAGTCGGCTACTTGTCATGTCAGCTGTAACTCGATCCTTATCGTGGCCTTCAATAACTGTCGTTGAATGACACGACTGATAAGAAAGGACCATCACTATCTCGATGAACACCCACGAACATTCGACATTTAGCTATCAGTT